GATCAGTTTTCATCCTCGAAATTACTTTCATTTATATGAAGTTTTTTCGTCATCTATTTGCATCTGAAAAGGTCAAATAGATAAGGTCATTATTGATGAAAGCGAGCAAGATTAGATGCATGCTGAACGCAAATTTTGTGAAAAGACCTTTTCTTTTGAGTATAAATTAATAGTTGAAAGTTGTAAATGATTTTCATCATTTTATGCAAAAAAAAAACATTATATTTATCAACAACAAATTCTAAATACGCATAATCCCAACAACATTGATCAAATTCGAATAGCATCGTAAAATGATGTTTGAAAAAAAAAGTCCTATCATGTTACCATCGATAATTCAAGTGCCTTTCTGATCAATCGTATAAAAAGTCGAGAGAAAATTGAAATGCAACCGCACTCAAACGGAAATGATGTCAAAAGCATTGTTTATCTCTATGCTATTACTTCTCTCGCTGGCTATCAACAATGCCATCGATAATAAATGCCTTGCATGCATCTGTAAAATAGAATCGGGCTGTAAGCCACTCAAATGTTCATGGGATGTCAATTCAAATTCATGTGGTTACTATCAACTGAAGCGTGCTTATTGGCAAGATTGTGGTTCACCTGGTCGTTCACTTGAATCGTGTGCGGCAGACAAGAGTTGTTCGGATAAATGTGTACGAAAGTACATGCAGCGATATGCCAGTCGATGCACTAAAGGTCGTAAACCGACTTGTCAAGATTATGCACGAATTCACAACGGAGGACCGAATGGATGTCGAACGTCAGCCACAATTAGCTATGGAAAGAAAATTGCTAACTGTTATTCTGGTTGAAAAATCTGAATTTTTTTCGATTTCACAATAAATCTCGCCTATTTTCTTTATAATGTGAACTCAATATTTATTAAATTGCTCTCACATGATTCAACTACCTTAAAATCGACAGTATTTGGATTTATAGGTTTTGTTCGACGAAATGTTCACTTCTAACATTGTGGTTGAAACTATTGTAGTATTACTTTCATTTTGATAGCCGTAATGAAATCAAATAATAATCATTGAGATTGGATATTTGATTATTGGTTGTCATTGCACTTGCTCTATTTGTTATGCATAGCCTGAGCTACATGTCAATAACTAATGCGACACGAAAGAAGATGCATTCCAATTATAAACGATTGAGCATAGAGAAAATGAGGTTGTCGATATAGATATAGAGAAAACTACCACATCCACATCTTCCGCCGTTTTTGTTTGAAAGGCCTTTCTGTAATCTGTTATTGCTCAGATTGTGCCGTAATTAATTTGACTTCTGGCAGGTCCAATTTTTGCTTGCATGTAGGTGAGCCTCCGTCGTTGATCCTTTTAATTTCGATGCATCTTGTATCAGGTTCATTGTCCGAATGCCTTTCAATTGCAGCATCATCATCATCTAGTTCGTCGGAGATGCATTGAACATTCTCTGATGCATCTGACTCTTCTGAGCCATTATTCACATCATTGCCTTCGTCGCCTGATTTCTTGCTGAAGCCTTCAGCACATTCGTGTCAGTGTTCTGGCTGATTAGCGTCTAATGGTTTGTTTGAGATCGTTTTCTTTTGCAGAAATATTTGCGTTGAAATTCAGTGATTAGTAGCCGAATAAGACGTTGATAAGTTTCACAATACACAGAATAGTGAGAAAATAGAATATAAACTGAGTAAAATAATTTATTACTGAGGACAGTGCTCAGCTATTTATTTGATAAGCATGATGTTTTAGAAAGTATTGGAATGTTTTGGAAAATATTCTAACGCAGAAAATAGAATATTATGAAACCATTTACTCGCTCTAAGACTTTTTAGAAAGTTTTGAAATGTTCTCAAGCAAACTAATAGAAAAATGTGGAATGTAAAATTGACAAAGTTATAGCCGAAAAATAGTGTCATAATATAGGGTTAGGATGAATTTGAGGTGACTAAAAAGTGCTTATATGTATTTCCAGATAATTTATTCCATAGATAAATAGTGTTGATGAAAGAGTGACATCAGCAGCGTACTCTACTATCTTTCACTAGATTATATTTAAGGAGGCATGAGTTGATTGGACATGGTGTGAATATAACATTAAAATGAAACTAGTTGGCGTCCATTCAAACGTCAGATGAACGTGTTAGAATTGAAACTATCTGATAATATAATTCAGAGTTTAAATTATATTTGTACTCATTCAATAGTGAATCGAACACAAAAAGTGTGTGGACGTTGGTGTTAGAGAAGCGAAGACCTACACTGACATCCACTTCAGCATTGTGATGGTAATGATAACGTTTTCAACTTTGAATGCGGCAATGTAGAAAATATTTTATAAATCAAGTTACTACCAGTCGAATCATCTGCATGAGCATAGCATAGATAAGATCAAGATAATAACATGGATTCTATTTCCATATTTTCTGTATCATCTTCACCAACATTAACCAATAAAAACAATCAAAGATTAAAAGATTCATTAAAATCTAATGTACTTGGCAGACTTTCGGACGACCATTCAAAAGTTGAGTCTAATCCATCTGCATACGAATTACAATGTTGCCTTAACTCTTGTCTGTCCAATAAAGAAGAGTGTGATACGGCAACTAAGTTCTTCTGAAACACATCCGCATCAAATCAAATAACTATTCAGTTTAAAAAACTTTTTTTCACTGTAACATTTCTTTGATAGATCAGCATCAGCACACGGTTTTGTTGAGTATGATGAAATTTTGCATAGGTATTACTTTGAATGTGCTCAAGCAGAAAACCACTAGAACAAATATCTCTTACTTCATTAAAACGTACTCGAAGGCATCTTGGTGTGATCCATTAGTTTTTGCATATTTAGTATCTATCTTTCCGGGTAAAACCTTAATTTACGTCATATATAAGATAAATGCTTTCTACATTTAGAAATTTATCAAGTTTGTTATAAAAATCGGATTTTCAAAAAAACGTTCGTCAGAAGAAGAAATACTTGCATATCATGATGACTTTCAATGTAATCAATACATTCATTGGCATTTTCGAAGACTTTTATTGATTTAATTATTGAATGGAAACAAGCTTTTTCTTCCAAGCAATAATTTATTTTGTAAGCATTCGGATTGAGTCAAATAATCATAAAATTATGAGAATCGATGTCTAATGGCTCAATCATTTTTGCTCAAATACAGTGAGTTTTCACATCAGCTTTGATTTAAATCAGCTAGAAAATGTATCAAATAAATAATATATAGTATTCATTGATTGACGACGCGTTTTGTACCTAGATTTCAGAATAGAGATCAGTAGAGTTTAGCAAAGTCAATTTTGGCTTAGTGCAGACTTTTGAACTGAACTGAGTTATGAGAGTACGCGAACAATTTCTCTACCAAACCCTATATCGTCTCCATTCGCATGAGGGAAAAACATACATCAACCTAGCGTAAAAAACTAACGATTCTACAATATAAACTTATTCTAACCGTTTTCACTATGAAAATTAGACTCAGAGAACATACTTGTGTAGGTCTTCAGTTGGAATCTTATTCGAAAACTAAACAATTAACGCTATCTATAATCGACACAACAGCTTAATCAAGTTTATAAAACTTACCAAAGCTAAAAAGAATGTACTAAGTTGATTTTAGTTTCGCTGGTATTGAAATACGAAAACAAGTAAATTTGAATTAAAATCTTATTCGCTTCACTAATGCTTAATCGTAGAGCATGCCTATGTAGACACAATTATATCCAATTGATCTCGAAGCTTCACCCAACAATGCAGTTTTGGTCAGACTTTTACTATAGATCTTTAATTAGAGAGCTCATACATCTAAAAAGTAAAAGGCTTTCAAAGTTGCTATTGAAATTTTTTGGTATCTAAACGAATACTTTTCTAATTCTGATTATTAGAATACATTGAATGAATTCAATTTCAACAGGTCTGTCAGACCCATTTTTAGTTCAGTCCAACAAAACGAAAACAAAATTTCTCTCTCATTATCATACGTGTTGCTTATATCCCGAGAAATAATAAAACATCATAGAAGGACAATAAAGAATACTCATAGACGGGATGCAATCATGCTACAGAAGAAGACAGAGAACATTATTATCGCAGTAGGTTCTCTTCTGACGTAACACTTTCCCTGTTCAACGTAACCGAAAGAGAGAAAAACGACTAAAGACGATATTGAAAAAAAACAATGTGAAGCAAAAAGAAGCGAAAACAAAAAACTGAATATGTATACGTGAAATTATTAACAAGTGAATTATAACCACCTGAAGAGATTCGAAAAGATGAAAAACAGGAAGCGGTTTATGACAATAAAAGAACTACATGGAGAATAGAAAATAGTAAATTAATGATTGTATATTCAAGCTAGGTTGAGGTGAGAATATTGGTGTTGCTATTCATCTCAGGCTCACATATTTGATGAGCTAGATAAATAGGTTGACTAAGTAACACTTAGTAATTCATCGTATGACGTTTGGAAAAATGAATACAATTTCCTTCTGAAACTTGCTTGTAATCAATATATTTTTAAAAACCATTTAACTTCGAAACTGAGTTTTGACATAACTATTCATTACAAATTAAAAATATTGAATATGTTCGAATTTATATTCTGTTCTTGGTATTGGATATAATCAGTATTATGAGGGATACTATTGAGCAAATTAGAAATTATAAATATAGTAGATTGAGGTTTTCTATGTTGATTAATACAATCGGTGCATAAGTTTTCAGGAGTACTTCTAGGAAAAAATATTCAGCATCATTAATTTTTTGTTATCAATTAAATAGATAAAATATCAAATAAATCACTAATATCTACAATATTCTATAGAAATATAAGTCAATCATTTGAATTACCATCACTATTGGAAATACAAATTTGAAAAGATTATTTTATGCAAAAAAACTAAAATATATTTTTTAAATGGAAGAGTATATAAATCATTCTTTTTCTTTTCATAGCATACACTTTAATTAAAAGAACAATCAATATATTATTAATAAATCGCACAAAGTGCATGTCCCATATCCAAATTCGTATTTCCTTCGAAAAGCATTGTTTTATCATATGAAGGTATAATTTGTAAAGCATATGTATACGTAGAATAAACAGCTGTTAAAGATCTTGACACAGAAGTATTCCAATTCGATTGATTATTGGGAAAAATATTATTTGTATAGATCGAACTACCAAGTGAAGTTTCCATATTAATCCAAAGACGATATGTTGGATAAGCTTTAGCAATAACTGAAATATCCGATGCAAATATTGGACTAATCAAAGACCAACCTAAAGCAGTACACGCTGATTTGCTAGCCGTATATGTCATTAATGATGAACTAATTAATTGTGTACACACCCATTGAGATGAATATCGAATCAATATATACCCTAGAGATTCACAAGCAATACATTTATTTGAAGTCCATGACCAATACCATAAAGGTATATCACAATCACAAATACCACCTATAAATAAAATTATCAATATATTATTCAAATATATTTTTCTTTTCTTACTAACCAATACAAGCAAGATTTAATGTCTGTGGACATTGACTATCATATGTACAATTATTAGAATATGTTACTTGATTCATACATGTTGATGTTCCATTAATACTTGTTGCTGTAACCCATGTTTGTCCTTGAAGACAATCACATGTATAAAATTTTGATTGAAGAGGACAATCACATGGTAAGTTTGAACCAGGTAAACGACAAAAAAGGCCAACCAGAGTATTACAACTTATATTTCGATCACAATAACCAGTATATGTTGAAAGTTGTTCACATCGAGCATAGGACCAATATGTTGATGAAGAACATATACATGTTTGTGTTACTGTATCACATATAAGACCAAGTTGTGTATTACATAATGGAGCACTGGATGTCAGACATGAAGCACCAAATAATGAATAAGCTAAAAGCATTATAGTTCATAATTCAATCATTCTTTGTTTTGTTTTTCATTACTTACTCACACACCCTGTAGTTGTATAATATGTATTTTGAGAACATTGACATGTACCATTCGTATGACAAATGAGACCTTTATTTGTATCACATTGTTCATTTTTTGAACAAGCTGTATTAATTGTTTTTACTGTAAGACATTTTTGTTTTTTATTATCCCAAAAAGTTTGTTCCGGACAAAGACATATTGATGAAGACAAACTACATACTAAATCTGTTCCTGCAGCACATTGAACTTTTCGAGCTGCACATGATTCTAAATAAGATGCTGTTTGGCGAAGACGAACAAGTCCAGCAATAAGCCAAGCAAATGCAAGAGAAACAAAGATGATAATAGAAAATAAAATAATAAAACGACGTAGATGCGTTGAATGTTCATAATGAATAAATGTATAAAAACGTTTTGAATGAGATCGTTCAGTAGTTACAGTTGTTTGAGGTGATTGAATAAGGAATGGAACATTAGATGGTAAAGACAATACAGATGCCATGAATGAAATTTTTTAATCAAATGATCAAACAAACTGGCTTCTTTTTTTTGTTGTTATTTCATATATTCGTATTATGTAAATAATATTTCGTCGATAAAAAAAGCAAACTAAATTGATTTTTTTTTCATGTATTTGGTGTGTTTATGTAGGACAATCTTGTATTATAATATATAGTTATTTTTTATGAATTAATCTTTTGCTCTTCTTTTTGTTGTAGTGCTAAATTCAAAAAAGACGACGATAGAAATTAAAATTGTTAAGGTTTCTTTTTATTGAATTTCTATCAATAATAACGAACGATTCGGTTATAAAAAAGTTGGAACTATTGCTTTGATTTAATTTTTTTTTTATTTGCTTTGAATATTCTTTAGAATAATACCATTGTTACGAGTTATCGCAGAAAGACGTAGAAAGGTAATCAAATATAAACTTTCATGATAAACATACTTATAACTTGGTAATATCTTTTCAAGATATTTCTTATGTGGAAAAGGAATACAATGATTGTTGATTCAATCAATCAGCATGCTCTACACATAGTCAAATGTGCATGTCTTATATAGTTTGCTTCAGATAAGTAAACATGCAAAAAAAAATTTGTGCTTGTTGTAAAAGAAATATTGAAGACATATAAAAATTGATATGTTTTTATCAATGAAACTTCAAAAAATGGAACTAATCCACTTTTTTTTTAATTCTAATTAGTCGTTGAAATCATAGTTATAATTATCTTTGAATTATCAACTTGTTTCGATGCATTTTCTTGAAAAGACAATGGATTTATAAAAATGTAATGAGAATTAATTACGATGCATTCTAATCCAAGATACAAGAAAACATTTTCATGAAAATATCGAAAAAAAGGGCATGTGATAAATATCCGAAAATTTGTGAATACGTATGCGTAGATTAAACTTCTAGTTAAAAATATATTCCACACACACATATCAAAAACTGAATCGTAAAATCGTTACACTTTTGAAAAGTAATGAGAATGTATCTAATTTACGTTGACATACAACTTTGTTAAATATATTCAAAACAATCTATACTATACATTACTATAGTTCTGTGTTTGGAGTGCGAGTATGAAGATTTGGTTTACATGTGAATATAATGCATACATACTTATATCCAATAGACAAAGTCTAAAATGAATCGTCTTCTTGAGTGCTCCTTCAACAATTATACCTAATTTACTAATAAAGAAAGGTCTCTAGATGAGAGTCTCGATTTTTTGATCAACTTTATGCCAGTTTGTAGAACTCCATCAGCTAATCACAATAACACAATACGTTCTTTACCATAGATTATCTTTGAGGAGTAGACTCGATCTCAACTTGAGAAAAAAATGGCTGTAAGCTATTATTTAGGAATTTTTATTTATCATATTAGTTCAGTTGTTAGCATAGAAAACTTTAATATTGAATAAGTCTTAGTTGACTGTACACATCCATATAATAAACACAAATGCAAGTCTTAGCAACGTACGTCTATATTCTGAATATTTCAATGCCATTCATATTGTGAATGTACAGAACTCAACTATTCTTTCAGAATTTGTCTAATTTGAATTGTATTTTCATTTATTTAGGACATGTATTAAAGATACATGTTGATCGTGTTTTAATAATCTGCCTTAACTATTGTATTTTTCCAAATAAACATGAATACATTATACTATCGTGACCAGCTCATGGAGTTCTACAATCTGACATAAAGTTGATCTAAGATAAAGACTCACACTTGAAGGTTCCTATCAATATATATTATAAAAATTCAAATGTCGAAAACTTGATTTGAAACCTTTTCAACAACAAGATCGCAACCTTGTATAATATGTCGCGAGTATGATTTGAAATGAATACTTTCATCTCGAAATATATAATTCTTCGCAAATGATGTTCTTGACCAAGAAGTCAGCAGTCTAGTTTTTATAAGAATTTTATATGTCGAAGTACAAACATCCATTTCGGGCTTGATATTCATCGCATTATAATAATGCTGAGACTTTTTTTATTGAAAAATTTCAGATTAAATTTTTTAAAATAGAACTGCTCGATCCATCTGATACAGACCAACTATTTAGTAAATTGAGTATATTTCCATAAAGAACATTCAAAAAAAAAGATTCATTGCAGATTTTGTCTATATGCTTCATATATTAAAACGAGGTGTTATTGATATACCCTTTGTGATGGTATGATAAAACATCTGTCACAATCTGTGGGAGGAAGTCCGAATTTGTACCTCTGTACTTCAACACTCCTTCTAGATCGTGTTTCATAAAAACACAACTTAGTCGACTTTTAGAAAATCCACAGTTCCTAATTGCTGATTGAAACTGACATCACATGACAAATATTCTATTCAGATTAGTTTCAGAAGAGTATCTATATTGATTATTAATTGCTTTTATTTTCATACATAATTGAGACTATTTATTTGTGCAGTATCTATTCTCGTACAGTTATTTACATAATATTTTGATCGACTTGTCAACATCAATCTTTCTAAACTATTTGATCAAATTCGAGAAATTAAAAATTAAAATATCGAAATGATAAACATAATTCAAGTTGAAAAGATTGATTGATAATCGAATTGGAAAACATTTTTACTTTAAACATCATGTCCTCGCTCTCACGCAGTGCTGGATATATGTCGAATACTCGTTGGTTAAAGTTGTATAGAAAATTTAAAATCTATCAAAAATGTTCTAATGCCTATGATTCAACAATTTTTGTTCTTCATTCTAATGAATGACTTATAATGAATAACTTTAAAATATTCCTTCTATTAACTTTATTATTATAATAAACAAAAAAATTTGATTTCATTTACCGAAAAAAAAAATCACTTGGGCAACTAAAAAAAGCGTAAAAATAAAAAATTTATGCACGATGTTCAAAAATATTATCAATAATTCTTTCAAGTGCTACAGGATCATATCGAATATATTTTTCTCGATGTTTTGTAAAATCTTTATGTGCAAATTTATCATAATACTTTTTAAATAGTTCAAGAATTAATTTTTTTCCTTCATCACGTAAACGTTTACGTAAAACAACATCACTAACAATATATTGTTCACATTGTTGTCGAATTGTATCAATAGCTGTATTTACAGATGAAAAACTTTCTTTTAATTGTTCACGATCACGATCACGTAACTAAATTATATAGAAAAGTGTTTTAAAAAAAAGAGTTTTAAATAAATAACTAACTTTTGTATCAGATATACGATTATTATTATCATATTCAAACATTTGTTGAATTGGAATGATTATTGAACTGTAACTATAAAAGACAACAATGAAATATTTCGTTTTAGTGAATATAGATATTCGGAGAGTGTCCTGGAGGTTATCAAGATTGCGGAAGAGACGACTTTTGTTGTAGAGATTGGTGAGCAAAGAGAATCGGTCAGTTTTATTGGAAAAAAAACGAAAGTTTTCCAAGATTAGGAGATCAATACTATTCCTGCTCGGGACACGACTGAGTGCTCGGTTAATATGAAAAAAAAAACTAAAGATCAAAATTCAATACTGGTACTTGAGAATTTAGTTTCAATAATATAACTGACGGATGTATTTTGTCTATTGGATGATAGTTAATTACTTGATGCTATAAGTTTTTAGAATAAATTTGTTAAAAGAAAGAAAAAAGTTGTTTGTTTCTTATTAGATCAGTGAAATAGAGTTCGACAATATATTCATCCGTATTAAAAGTCAAGTGTGCCTGTCCAAAGCTTATCATTGTTCTTCTTCTTTCTCTATTGTTTTATTTACAACACTTAATAAAAAAAGTTTTATGATCGATGGTTAATAGCTTCGCATTCTGTGTAGAACAATTTTGACAATTTTGAAGTTCCTATGTATACATCTGTACATTTACTTTTGACTCTTTCGTATTACAGTTTAACATGCTAGACGAAAGCAATAAAACATGCGGTTGTCTGATAGATGAGTATAATAATTAGACTAAGCTAAAACAAACATTTGTAGTAGAGTTAGTTGGTTGTAAATAATGGTTTTATGTTCTATGTTTAAGACAAATCACTACTAATCTTAGACTGTACTCAAACCTTGAAAACAAAATTAGTTTTTCTGAAGTCATTGTTTCATCAACAACCAACAAATTAAGCTGGGTATACAATTATTCTAGATTCTAAATCTAACAATATCAATTCTGAAATCAAAATGACTAGATTTGCTGATATTAAAAGAAGAAGGATGAAAAACAATATGAACTGCAGTGTAGCAGCAAGATATCGTAAACTTATCAGCATTGAAAGTGAATTCTACTAACAAAGAAATTGCTCGAAGCGATTCTAAGCTTTTGATTCCATGCATTGCCCTATAAATAGGACACTTACTTATCAGAAAAAGCTTAGAAGTCTAGTTAAGATGTTCATTTTGATCAAAGTTCACGTTAAAATTCGAAAATGTAACCCAAGACTACTAAAGATATTTTAGTAAAATTTCTATTTCTTACGAGAAAGTATTCTTCGCTTGAGACTATAGCTATTCGATCAGTCATGATGCATAGTGAAACACTCTGGCTTTCGCTTATCGAGTTATGGGTGTTTCAAACTGAAATTATACCTTTGGATAGACTGTATAATCACTTGAAATTCTTTAAAATTCATCTTAGGACAAACGTATCTTTATCGAGATATCAGGATGTTATGAAAATATGTTTCTTTTGAAACAAGTGTTTCTTTAAAAAGTAAATATCTTGTAAAGAATATGTCCGTTCTGGCTAAAACTTTGAAGAGCTTCAAATAACTGTAAGATCTATTTGAGGATATAATTTGAACTCGAAATTCAATGATCGAAATTGACAGTGATTCTGTGCTCATAGAAGAAAAATCGAACAAAACATCCATAACTTGACGAGTGAATATTGAAAAATCAGACCAAAATAGGTTTTTTCACTACTCATCATGATCGATCGAATGGCAATAATTTGAAGTCAAAATCAATTTAACAGTTGAAAACGTTCCCTCATTAGCCAAATTACAACATGAGCTAACATCCTTCTAGACTTTTTCTGGTCTACAGGTTCTCTATTAATGAGTAGAATATGAGCTTAAAAAGTTTCAATCTCTTTAGGCGATTCTTTCGTAAGTAAAAAAAAAGAAGACTATTCGTCATTACTGATAACACGTGCTACTTGCAAATATTCAGAAATTCTCTTTTACTTATTATCAAATTGTTATTTGCAGATATTCAAAATGAAATCTACACTTATTAAACTAAATATAAAATACCATTTTGTATAATCGTTTAAACTTGTTTGAAGATCAGCTTGATATTTTGATAAAAAATTTGGTTGACACCGTTCAATCATAGTAAGAAGAGATGAACTACTAAATCAAATTTAGAGAAAACAAAATCTAAATCTCAATTATAAATATCAAATACCCTTCAAGACGTTTAAGAAGATAATTAATATTATTAAGAAGAAATATTGATCGTATTACTGTATCTGTACGTGGCATATAACCATCAATTTTCTTTGATAAATTAGCATGTAGTGATCGAATTAATCGAGCTAAATACAAAATGATTTTTAAAAAAATATTGATCTATCTTTTAATAAACACATACCAAAATAAGTTCCTAAATCATAAAGACCTTTTTCTGTTCTTGATGAACCACCACTAGTTGATCCTGATAAATTAAAACATAAACTTTTGTTTTGTTTTTTTCTTTTTACAAAAATAAATAATTTTCGTATTCATACGTTGTTCTTGTTCAACATATTTCGAAGCAATTGTTGTTGCAGTATCTTCATAAGTTAATAAACCTTCCATAAAAGCTAATACATGTGATGTTAATGGATGTACATTACCACCTTGACTTGGTGATGATGTATCTGTAGTAACTTCTTCTAAAATTCCTCGAAGATAAATAACTGCCTAAAATAAAAATAAAAACTTTACAATTATAAATAATTTATTTTAATTATTACCGATTTTTCAAATGTTTCTGAAAGTGTAGTAAATTGTTGTCTACGAGCAACATCACTTTCCTTAAATACAATAAAAAAAAATAAAGGAAACAATTATTAAAAATTATTTTTAATTATTAATTAAATTACTTGATAAAGTTTAGAAAATGTTGATCTTGATTTACGAAACCATTTTAAAATTGAAAAAATACCATAGATTGCAAATTTACCAGAATCTAATTTATGTGGTAATCTTTCAATTGATTCACATAAACGTTGTGCTTCTTCACGCATATGTACTAATGGTAATTCAATTAATTTCGTAAAAACAAGTGATTGTAATTCTTGAGGAAAAACATAATTAAGTAAATCACGATCACGTTGTAATAGAATAATAAATGCATCAAGTAATAATTTATAATTATTTGTATCACGATGATCACTTGAATCAAACATAGCATTATCTTCTATTACTGTTAATGTTGTTGAAACAGGAGAATTTACACCACGAGGTAATGTACCTGGGCCCGATGGTCGCTTTAAAAGACGACTCATATCACTAAATTCATTAGATAAGTAATCATATATCAAAAGAAGTTTATGTGTCGAACAAAATAAAAGCTGTCTTTTTACTTTCATAATGATTGCTGTTAAGGATTTAAAATTTGAATGCCTTGTTCTTAATCAACAGGATATAGAAAAAAAAATCTCTTTTATATACATCCTTTACACATTTCATGTCACATCATCAATCAACATTGAAAGAAAAAAAATATTATTTATCTATTTTAATTAATCATAGAATTTCCTTTACTTATTCAAGTCTCTAATTTTCTTCGCATGAATAAAATAAATAATAAAGTAGTATATATTATTACGGTGTTTTCTTTTTTCAACAAAAAAAAAATACGAAACAAGGATAATCTATTTTGCTTACGATAATAAATCATGTCTATTGTGAAATCACATATAATATAAAAAAACAAAAAATTTTATTTACCCTAATTTTATTCCTGGTCGTTTTGATGTATCTGTACTAGATGTATTATTTGTTGATAAATTTGGACTTGGTTGAATAATATTAGTTGATATACGACGAACTGATGATTTTCCTAAATGTTCTGCAAGACTAAAAAAAGAAAACTAAACAAATAAATTTATTTTGAAATTTTCTATTGATTACAGTTGAAGAGAACGTCGAATCATTGTGCCTCGTTTCGTTGCATATGAATCAATAAGACCTTGTCGAAAACCATGAGCATTAAACCATTCAATTATTCTTCTTAATGTACCCATATCGACTTCTAAAATTTCAATTTTTTTATTTCTTTTTTTTATTTAAATTAAATCATAAATTCATTTCTTTATTATCTTACCTTGCATTGCATGAATATCATTTCTATTTGTTTCTGACATTTCACATAATTCAATTAATTCTTTTGCTGATAATGGATTAGCATATCGTAAAATAAGTTTATCAGTTTCTTCAACAAGTCGTTGTCTTCCAAGATCAAATAATTGTGTAACACGTTCACGTTCACTAACAGATGTTGTACGTTTAAAATATTTAACAGCTTCTTCAAGACGATCTAATTCAGATAAATATTCAGTTAAATTTCCACCTGGACCTGATGATATTGTTGGTTGTAATTCATTACATATTTCATAATAATGTAGAACAGAATCAACTAACAATAAACTATGATCAACATTATTTAATAAAAAACTTAATTCATTTGTTGCTTCATATACAGGTGTAACTAATTCATCTAATGATTCAAGTTTTCGTTCAAAATTATCTAATGTTGATACCATACCACTTGTTAATGTATTTGAACGTGTTAATGATTCGTTTAATAATGCTAAACGACGTTTTTCCTATTACAAAAAAAATAAATAATAATAATAATAAAAGAATAATATGAATAGGTTTTTTTCCAAAATAAATTTTGCTAAATATAACATAGGAAAAAGAATTACTCTTTTAACAATGTCATGCTCAAGATATTTAGAAAAATTTAACCTTTGAGTAATGAATTTTGCTCAAGGTATATGACCTTTTCTTTTTTTTTGCGCACTTGTTCATGTATGTCTACGTTAGATTATCAGTTGGCAGTATTAATTTGTTCGAAGAAAAAAAAATAATGTTCATTTAATACTTTATTAGACGAAAAAAATCGAGTTTGTGAAGAACTAAAAATTTCAATTATATGTAATAATACTATTTCAATGTTTACGATAAATATAGAAACGAGGTCCATTGACAGAAAGAGATAAAGTAAATCTATGTCAGTAAAATAAGATATCTTGAAACTAGAGCTCGTCATGTTGGAAACATTTGGTAACAGATCTGGATCTAAAGGGTTCTATTTGAAGCAAAAATGCTTCCCCCTTTCACATTTCGATAAGACATTTTCCTATACAATCCCCATGCACGATCTCTGATCTGAACCATTGTACAATAGTTTAAGAATGCATTTAATTTCATAGCTAATATCATTATTCTGTATTTGCAATAGTCATAAATTTTGAGACATTCATCTCACATAGTTAAAAATAATTACATTTTGTTTCTGAATTGTATATAATTTTTGTCTTCCATTTTTCATCAGTTTTCTTATTAAAATTATTCTCACCTCTTGTAATTTCAGTTCTGATGAACGTACATTCGTCTTGATTTCTCCACCACCGGTCATTTTATTATCCCTCTTTGATAGAACAATCTGAAAAAAATCATTTTTCGCTTTAAACGACAGATAAATGTATGTATATTTTTATATAATATATATATATCAAATATATCTTACAAACGAAGAGAAACATGAACAAAAATGATAGATCATGCAAAAACAAAAAAAAAACAAAGAAAAAATTTATATATTCAAAGAAGAATACATCCTTTCTTTTTCGGTTTTGGTTTTGGACATAGATGAGCACGTATTGCTTCATCGAACACTGTCTTCAGACCTTTTTGAGTTAAAGCAGAACATTCTAAATATTTAACAGCACCAATTTCTTTACGCATTGCTTCACCTTGAATAGCTGTTATTGGTGTTAATTTTTTTTCCTAAATATATATAAAAAGAAAACAAAGGTAAATAAATAAATAAAAAATATATATTTTTTTTCAATTATATTTACTCGAAGTTTTTCAATTGCAATTTTATCATCACGTAAATCAAGTTTTGTACCGACTAGAACAATTGGTGTTTGAGGACAATGATGACTAACTTCAGGATACCACTTAATAAATTAAATTAAATATAAAAAATAAATTCAAAAAAAAAAATATATATATAAATATTTTACTTTAGCTCGAACATTTTCAAATGAAGCTGGACTAACAAGAGAAAAACAAATAAGAAAAACATCCTAAAAAAAACCAAAGAAAAAAAAGGTTTCTTTTAAAATTTCCTCTACCAAATTCTTTTACCGTTTGCGGATAAGACAATGGACGGAGACGATCATAATCTCAAAAAGAAAAATAAAACTCTAATCAAAAACACAAAAAACCTACACATTCTCCATACCTTCTTGACCAGCCTACAAACAAAATATAATTCAATGAAAAATTCTATTTTTAAAAACAAATCTTCTTACTGTATCCCATAAGCCAAGATTAATTGGTTTTCCATCGACCATAACATTCGCTGAATAATTATCAAACACCGTTGGTATATATTCACCAGGAAATGTATTCGTTGTATATGAGATTAATAAGCAAGTTTTACCTACGGCACTAAAAAACATAAATAAAAATAAAAATAAATTTTAATCTAAAAGAAATTATTTACCCATCGCCGACTACAACACATTTGAGTGCTTGCATTTTTTTGAAAAGAGATATAATTTATGTTCGTTTGTTTTTTTTATTTATATTTTCTTAAATAATTTAGAATAGACTATTAGTATCATCATAGCATCTAGAAAAGGAAAACCATACACATCAGGACAATGATGAAGTGAAACAAACAAAGAATAGCAAAAGAAAGAGAAAAAAACGAATGAATCATTATATTCATTCTCATTCAGTCACTTATTCATTTAAAGAAAAAAAAATAGAATAACCATCTAAGAAAGAGACAGAGGTCGCACATTTAATACCATTGTTTTTCTGTTATGGAATTTATTAAATTTTACACCGACGGATGATTAGTTATATATTAATCACCGATGATTTTATAGACATTTTATGGATGAAGAATTTTTCTTAAGTGAACAAAAAAAAATTGAAATTGATATTGACCATATTATCGATCTTTTAGATTCGAGTAAGTTTTCTCAAGTACTTTTCGATCTTACATATATTACAAATGAAATTTATAAACAAAAAGAAAAATGAAGATTCTTGTTATTTTTTATTGAGTGAATAGTGTAAACAATTATAATGATAAATATAGATTTTCTTTTACACCTTCTAATTAACGTATCAAATGTATGTTTCTTTCGTATTGTTACACAAGATATGTTGACTTTGATATGTAAAATTAATTAACATCATTTGTTTTTTGTTGCTTAAAGAATGCTCTTCAAATCATGATACGTTTTATATAATAAATCTTCTCGTCGAACTATCTTTATAGAAAAAAAAGTATGGTAAAACGTGTTCTTGAAAACAGCTTTAAATTAATCCCTTCATTTGATTTAGTAAGCTATTAGTCTAGAAATGTCGATCATATTTAAAAGAAGATTAACCGTTAATATTTTGATCATTAAAAATGAAATAGTCATCTAAATATGATGCGAACTAATCGACTCGTACTATGAAATTACTTTGGAATTATTTTATAATTAATTGGATATCAAATAGATAAAAAAAGATGATGTGGCTTAATACTATCTTGAGAAAAGTAATGAATTTTAAGTATATAATTAAAGTTTCAATGGAAAAATCATTTTCTTTTTTTTTGACTTTGATCTTTTTTGCAAATGTATTCAGTTTTTTTGTAATCTATTCTATTCTGACAATTCTTTATGTACTAGAATTTAATCAATCTTTTTCACTAATTTTCTTCTTAATATTCGATTTATTTTTTAGTCTTTATGATTATTGATACAAAAGAAAAGAATTTTCACAAGAATATAATTCATTAACAATGCTAATTATTTTCTAGATAGGATTCTTTCCTTTCAAAGATAATATTAATACAAGTCATAAGTTATATCCATTTTACGTATTGGATCTTTAATTAATCATATAATAATTCTAAAGTAATTTCATAGTACGAATTGATTAGTTTCAATCACAGTTAGAAGATTATTTCATTTTTGTTTTTTCGATTAAAATTTTAACGCTTTATCTTCTCTTAAATATGGTAGACATTTCGAGACTAATAACTTTCTTATTAAATGATCTATTGAGATTAATTTATAGCAATTTTCAAGAACACGTTTTATTGTACTTTTTTCTTCTATAAAGACAGTTCAATGAAGATAATTATTATTCTAGATCATCCTGAATATTAACGAGCTTTTAATTATGATTAATTAATATTTTTGTGTCATAATACATGTAAATAATATTTATTGATATCAGAAAATGATAGAAAAAGAAAGTATATTATCAGTGATTGAGAAAAAAACTTAATTTAGATACTACAAACTGATAATAATGATAAAGCTTATCGATCAAATATAATCTATCGACAATCATAATTTCAGGTAACAGATAATTTTTGAAAGATTTTCAATGAGAGTACACATTATTTTTTTTTACTCTTACTAGAGGCATGCAGACTATACAAGAGAATTATTGTACTATACAATGTGTGTTTGTTCTTTATGTACATATACGATGCCAAATGTACCTATTTCTTTCATTCTTCTTTCTAACAAGATATTGATCGTAATGTTCTATCTTGATTTATTTTCTTATTTTTCGTTTTTATGTTTTCATTCAAGTATGCTCTTTAGTTTTTTCTCTTCGCTTATTCCTTTGTTAGTTCCTTGATCATATATATTTTACAAACAGAGGTAAGACAAATACAAGAATTACAAGTGGGAGTATTATATTTGTGCTTCAAGATGAATACTTTTGTACTGATATTTAAGTACGAAAAATAAAACCTTTTAGCTTGAGATATACATAAAATAAATTTTGTTAATAAAATGATACTCATTTCATTTAGTTATTTGAGTAAAAATTTTCATATTTTATTCATCAGAAGATATTACGATAATCTTTAAAAACTGATCGGATCTAGGCAATTTATTTTATCTATATCTCAAGTAAAAATTTCTGTTTTTCGTACTTAAGTATAATACAAATATTTTCTTGCGAGCTCTTTTTTTTGCAAGTGTATTATGCTGCTGCTTGAGGTATTCACCTTTTGATTAACATCTAATATAAATACCTGCTGTTTTATGTGAAGAGGGCCTATATTTTTCTTCACAAATAAATTTCTTATATGCAACAATGTATTTCGAATCTAACGCAAGTAGTCAACAATATTTTATAGAGAATTTTTGAAACTTTATTAAATTTTGAATGTAAAATGAGTTCATCTGAATTAGTGTTTAATTTCTAGTACTGCTTCGATTTCTTTTTTTGTATAATGGTACAACCCATGTAGTTGATGACGATGATTAATATTTGTTGTTATGATTAAAGATGTATCGGATATAGAGACATCTTATTCAACAATCCGTTAATTGTAAACAAGAACTATTAATTATCATTCTCTCACTTTTTCTCATAATAAATCTCAAGGTCAATTAGAGAAATGTTTTTTTTTTTTTTTCTCAAACTAATGTTTTATCAAGCTCTACTCTTAGGCAATTTCTACAATTTGATTAAAGTAACAGAAATTAAGGTTCAGTTTAGTCCACTTTTACTCAAACTATGTTCTGTGGTATAATTGATATGAACACATGATGACTTTACTAAATTTTTATCTATGAGTAAAATTTATCAAAAGCAAAAAATGTAACAAAAAAAAGTATTAAGTTAAAGAAATAAATTACATATGAGTTTCGACAAGAAATAATTAGATTTCTTGTATTACTAGACGAGAAAAACGAGAGAATATCATATTATTCTTTATTGAGGAAAAACTTATGATAAATGATGTTATTCATATGAATTATTACCTATTACTGGAAGCAAAGAAATATAAAACAATGCTTATTATCGACTTGAAATATTTCTCTTATGAAAATACTTCCAAATATATATTGCTATCAAAATGTAGAAAGAAGATGTAAAGTGTAATAAGAATTACATTTAATTCTCAAGAATAATTCAAATTGGTATTTTCATTTATTCAGATGAAATAATAAATGTAAAAAAAAAAAACAAGATCCATCGAACTTTAACGAACTAATACAACCATATTATTATATCAGCATGAGATTTTTTGTAAGAGCAAAAGAACATACGAATATCAATAGCATATTCTTGACGATCGAATCTTTTCTACGTATTAGACATTTAAATAATGAAGCCTACTCAATTTTAACTAGTATACCATCAAATATACAATATGAATCCGAATATAGACTGAGTTTAGTAGTTATGTTGACGAGTAAACAATTATACGCAAAATACATATCGAAACTAGGTTTTTTCTTCTGTCGTTATTACTACTATTTTATAACCTATATCCTAGTAATAGTATGTTTATTAGTTAGACTAGTACGAAAAATTTCGTTGTATTCGAATACTAATACAAGTTTAATATCTTGTATAACTCGATCTTTTTTTTCATTGTTTGCCGTTGGAAATTTGTTCTGCGCTGATAAAATACAAAGAATATCATTTTATTCAAAGACGACATATTGAAGGTTACGTCGAATTTGTTTTTTCATTATCGATTTCATGATGTCCTTAAAATTCTACTATTCATGAATTTAATCAAAAGAACTTATCATCTATTCTCATAGTCTATTTTAGTCGATGATATTACTATAATTTTTATAGACTAATCAAAATTTTCTTTCGACAGGCTAGTTGAGAAACATATAAAATATCTCAAGTGCTTTGTCTTTCGTGTATTGAAAAAATTAGATTGTTATAAAATAAACTATACGTATATTTGGTTAATTAAGATTTTTCTTTTGTAAATCATTCATGTTTTACTTATTTTGCTTGATTTCAAATACTAACTTGATCTTTGTAATATGAATAACATTTATGGATACTTGAACATCTACTTAACGAATATATTTTTTTCTCTCGCTTGAATTAATGAACGAACCATTTATTTATTCAGCAATTTTCTATATATTTGTAAAATTCCAGTCAAAATTTTTCTAATATAATAAATAATAATTATATTACATTATGTGATTTTTGTTTTTTATAAATATCCTTCTTTTCAATAGATGTCTCGATCTTATCGCTTCATGATACGTTATATGGCATAATCCAATGAATGACATTCTTTTGACAATTCCTAATAGTCACATCTGGTCTGTTATTAGCAGTGGGGCATTTAATTGTTTTTTCAGCTGGATTAATAATGACAAGCAAGACATGTCTTGGTTGTCCTTGTCCACCAACAATTTCATTTGTTCAACGATTAGGATCGGCTTTATTTTATGGTGCTTGTTCAGGTTTAATTACCGTTGTTAACAAACTTGTCCTTACATCTTATGAGTACGTACTTTATTTTTTTTGACATTATTGTCTTAGTAGTTTCTCATCCCCCTATTACGTAACAGGTTTCCCTCATTTCAACTGCTTGCCATTGGACAGGTAGGTGATAATCATGAATAAAAGATATCCTAGTTTTCTATATGCATGCCGAGTGTCTACTTCTATTAACCATATTTCTAACACATTACTATTCTACTAAAATATAATTAATTGATTAATTATTCTTATTGTTTATTCTTTTTTTGCATAGTTAACTGTTTCGATTACTGTACTTTATCTGGCACGATTTTTTGGTTTTATTCGTTTTCCTCATTTCTCCGAAAATGTTGTTAATAAAGTTCGTAATTCATCTGTTTTTTTTTTCTTTCAAAGAAAAAAACGATCTTTTTTTTTTTCTTGTATAATAAATAGATTATGCCGTTGCCATTGTTTTTCTTTGGTAATTTACTCTTTGGTCTTGCTGGTACTCAAGCAGTTAGGTAATTTGTTTTTTTTTCTTCGTAGTTTAATAAATTTCCCATTTTTTTTTTAATGATTAATCAATAGTTTACCAATGTTTACTGTTTTACGTCGTTTTTCAATTTGGTTAACGATGATTGGTGAACAACTAATACTTCGGTATGTACATATACATAAATGTATTGATTTGTATACATTTTTCTTGCCATTAGACAAACTCAATCTCTCATTGCACAAGCAAGTGTTTATTTGATGTTAATCGGTGCTATGATTGCTGCTAGTGATGATTTAACTTTCAATTGGTCTGGATATGTTTTTCTTATAATGAATAATCTTTGTACGGCAGCACAAGGTGTTGTAATCAAACAAAAATTAATCAATAAAGTAAAAGATAAAATTTCAAATTTTGTATTTTATTAATGTTTCTTTTTTTTTTTGTTTTGTTTGGTTTAGGAATTCAATCAAAATAGTCTTTTATTCTATAATTCATTTATTGTACTTGGACCAGCACTTGTTATAACTGCTTTTACTGACGATCTTAATAAAGTAGATAATTTTTAATTGATGATATAAAAATGTTTTATTGAAATGTATATATTTAAGGTTTGGAATTATAATCGTTATACGGATATTGGTTTTGTATTTGCTTTTCTTCTATCATCATTAATGGGATTTCTACTTAATTATTCAACAATGCTTTGTACTAATTATAATTCTCCTTTAACAACAACAGTTGTTGGTGCTTGTAAAGTTAGTTTTATATTTATATTTTTTATTGAATAATTTTCTTTTTGTTGTTTTGATTTTTAGAATATGTTTGTAACATATTTAGGAATGATTATTGGTGGTGATTATATTTATTCACGTTTGAATTTTCTTGGTCTTAATATTAGGTAGAAATTTCGTTTTATTTTTTGATAGATTTTTAATAAAGTTAAATTTTATTTGAAACTAATATTAGTTTAATTTATTAGGTAATATGAATTAAACTTTTATTATTCGATATTTCTATATATAATGAAAGCTACAAGTTTTGATTGTTTAATATGAATAACTGAAGCCATGTTTAGTAAAAAATGAATGTCAATTTGAAAAGAATAAATGTTGAAGACTTTGAAATGATTTTATTCAAGAGAGACATTCGAAAAAAAAAAAAGAAAAATGTGTTGTTCTTGTATTATTAGAATTGAAAATTATGTTAAAAGAAAAGCGTAGTTTAGAAAAAGAACTAAAAGACAGACATATGTAAACATAAGATAAACTATTACTTTTCTTTTTCTTTTAGTGTTATTGGTAGTATTGTTTATTCTTGGGTAACATTTACTAGAAAACCACCAGCAATACCAACACATGGAAGTGGATCATCGAGTACAACATTAGATAATCGAAAACGTACGCACGATATTGTTTAGTTTATTGGTGCTTATAAACGGTGATGGTAGTGCTATTTCTAAAATTGAATGATTTTTTTTTTTTGTGACAACTAATGATGATCACTTGACACATCTATTTATATTATTTCTCTGTTTATGACTGATCTTAATTCGAATATGAATGTATTTTGATGTAATTTCTTAGCAATAGATTAATTAATCAAATTGTATATTCTATTCGAAAACTTTAGAATTTCCCATACTTAACGCAATAATCTCTTTGTTGTTAATTCTTTTTTTCTTCGTCTTCTCTTTATTTCATTGCTATAATGTTCTTCAGTATTGTTTTACATTTCTATTAAGTATTATATGTATGTAGATGGTAATCTCATGAAAGGTTCGTATCAACTATAGTATTACGGGGAAAGGGGTGAAATGAAGCATGCACGTTATATTTATATTAAATAACTCATTACTGAATGTGCGAAAACATGACTGACTAGTTTTGTATTTTTTTTTACACTGTCGTTTATGTTCTCTAACGCTTTTTTAAATTACATTGTTGGTTTTATTTATTTATTTATATATGATAGATAAATGAATGAAGAAAGTTTAATGAAAGCTATCGCTTTGATAATGCATTAAATAAATAGGCGATAGTATACAGAAATAAATATATATATATATATGTGTATGATGATTAACTGTTTGGCCTTCATGCATTGGTGCAATTTTTGTTTGTTCTATGCATATTGTAAGCTGATAATCATTATGCTATATCTTTGTTTATATAGATGAATGAAACCCGTTTATGATTGTTTAACAACCGAATATTTATCCTGAAAAATAGCATAATCATTATACTTCCTACTGCTCTATCTAGATAAATAATTTAGAACAGTATGC